CTGTACTAACTGAGCAAGTTTCCCCTTTTTTTCTAGAATTGGTGTCAACTATATAAATAAAGTCAACAAGAATGGTGGGGGTGTTATATTCTTTATGAAGGCTGAAATACAAGCCAGGATATTTTGGCACAGAGAAGGAAAGTTGGAATTAGAAGTGTGTGTAGCTACTAGAAATAAAGGTTTCTGATATGAAAGGCGTGGATTACCACAATCCACATGTTTGACACTATCATGGGTGGACTAGGGGGCCTCCTCTGTTGGGAAATGAAAAGGAACGATGGAGCTGGAAGGCTCGCTAGCGCTTCTTTCACAGGGTGAGAGATGGAAATGAAAGGAAAAAACATGCCCTTTTGAACAAACACTTCAAACATCCCATTTCAGGGTCTTTTCTGCTACCAGATGACTATAATTATTATTTTTTTTAATCAAGAGTTGATAAATCTCAACACAACAGACTCAAACAATGCCCCCTGTACCAGTGAGTTGCTACGTGCCTACCACACGACATGCCCTGGCGGTTTCCAGGCAAAAGCTGAAATAGGACTTGATTAACAAGCCTGGTACAAATCAGTGCTGGAATATGCTGCCGCGGTGGTAAGGAAGAAGCTTCCCATATAACATTTGACTTCACTGACACGGGAACTCAGAAGGGAAGCTTGAGACATGAATCTTGAGACTGCACAGTGGCAGCTGCATGCAAATAAGCAGCCTATACATTTGAAAGCTTGAGAAGTAAACCGGCTGTGCATTGAAAGGTAGGCATTTGGAGGTGGTAAATTTAGCCCTGACTCATCCAATGGCAATTTTGACACTTGGGTGGACTAAATTACTTTTAGGAGTTGCATCATGTTTTTACCAGATAGTTTGATTGAGCATGGTTTAACCCATTCCGATACCTATGGCCAGATTCTAGACCTTTCTCACTTGAAATAACTATGCGAGAATTTGTTTGTATGTAATATATAGGACATAGATACCTTCTGAGTCATCAAGTTCCTTTCTTGCAATCATATCAATTAGTCTCTTGCTTAAACGTATTGAGTAACATCTTAAAACTGGGCTCTCTTTTTTTTTTTTTTTTTTTTTTTAATTCACTGCTCTTGTTGTAAAAGACTTAGAAGACCCTTTACTGCTCATAGCTAAAAATCCATTTCCAAAAACTACTGAAAGTTTCTTCACAGCTTTGTCTTTCCAATTAAAGAGTTCTTTCCTCCCCCTGGTGTTAACTCCTCAAGTATTTATGGAGAGCACTTGTATGCCAAGCTCTGCAGCCTCTTCCTATGGACAGGTGCCCTGTTTCCTCAGCCACCTTAGCAGTCCTCTTTCGTATCGTTCCAACACGAGGGAATGGGAATGGTGCACATTATTGCAGATGGCTGCGTTCGCACTGGCGTTAATACTGCCCAGTCTCTACCAGAAAGAGCTTGCCTGGCATGCTGGAAATGCAGCTGCTGTTTTTCCCCAAGCAGCGCAGGATGGCCATTCTCTCTTGCAAGTGTCCTGGCTTTAAATGCTCAGTAACTTCTAGGAATAGCGGTTTTCATTTCTGTTTGCCTTGCACACAAGACTCATTCCACCTTTGTTTGCATGCTGACAGTTTAGTGTTGATACTCATGTATAAACCAAGTTTGAAGCCAGAAAAAACTGCTGATGGATAAAGTCAAACATATGCCTAATTTTTGTTATTTTTTTGACACTTCAACGGAAAGTTCAGAATTAAAACATATTTTAAACGCTACGGTCCTTGTTCTTAATAACCCAGCTACATTCCGATGCAAAGGGACACGCATAAATCTTTCTTACGGGTTTCTTAGAGGGAGGCCTGCGCCAGCCGGGCCAGAGGAACCCCTCTGCCATCCACCCCCTCCCGCCGAAGCGGGCCGCTCCCGCAAGGACACCGCGCACACCACCG